GTAGTATTGTGTAATGAACTCAAACCAATTGTGTATTTAACTCGAATCGTTGTGTATTTAACTCAGATTTTGCTGCAATAGGCTCCGTTCTTCACCACGGGTTGTCCGTAAACCAGGCGTTCTTAACCCAGCGACTCCTGTCTTCCCAATTCCTTTGGCTACGGAATATGTTTCATCCCCAAACTGTTTGAGGAACCCTCATCTGATATTTTTGGGGGGCAACATATTGGCTGGTTCTGCAAGTTCTGCCAAGATGCCTGTTTTTATCCATTTGTTCTTTTATTTAATTGTTGCACACCGCTCAGAGTCACTTGGTGCGAGACGGGCGGCTGTATAAATGTGATAGGCGCATACATAAATAATAAACAAAGTTTGTGCAACCTGGCTACCACCTTGCTCCACTACTGAAGAGAAGAACTGCACCGTGTGATCTTTTCTTCCTAATGCTTTTTAGGTTGAGCCTCAGGATCTGATGAACTGTCTCACTAGCCGGACGATTATTACCAGAGGAGAGACAGTGTCCACCCCACTCAGTATGGAACAGGCATTAGATGTCCGAGATGCATTTGTAAAGGTAAATCCTGAATCGTCCTCCACCCTTTTCCTCCACTTCCCCTTCCCCTCCCCAAGAAAACTACATGTCCCAAGATTCTTAGAGAAAGGTCCAGATCTGTGCATCTTCTTAAAGCTAGAAGATTGCTGTAGCCTTAAAGTAAAGATGCCCTCCAGTCAAGGTTGACTTTTGTTGACTTTATAGACATGGCGTTATAATTTTATGGCAATGTAGTGGAAGCCTAGCCAGCTTCTGGGAGGTTTTTTCCATTTCTCAATCTAGTTTACCACTTTGGGATCTCCTGGTGGCCTCCCTCCATGAGCTGGAGCTGGAGGAGAGGCAGGACCTGAGGGATTAGGGAAGGAAGATTTGGAATTAACCAACATTTATGACCACATAGTGATGGCTGGGGGAGCACAGGGCTGGTGGTCAGACTACTCAAATCATACAGAAAGGTGATCTCAGGCATGGAAATGTCTAATTGTTTCAAGGAGGGGGAGGCAAATGGCTTTCTTATGGAGCGGGGCACAGAAGGCCATTTTGGGGGCGAAGAGCTACAGGCAGGTCGCGATTGGTGCATGTTTGAATAATGCAATATTCGATTTCGTGCAAATTGTAAATGGATACCAGGTTGCATTTAAGGCAACCTAAATTCAGTGAATGCAAAGTTAATGCGTGTGCAACTGAGCCTAGCACGTGTGTAGTTGAGGTTGGGGTTTTAGACGCTGCTCCTCTTCGTGTGTGCAAGATGGAGAAAAGGAAGACTCCTTCAGAGAAAAACTGTACAAATGTAATGCTATGACTTTGTTAAAAAAAAAAATTAAGTTGCCTGTACAGGTAGTCCCCAGTTTAAGAACGAGTTCCGTTTCCAAGATCTGTCCTTAAGCTGAATTTGTATATAGGCCGGAATAGTGTTATTGTATAATACTGTATAAGTACTATTGTGTAATGGACTCGAACCATGGTATATTTAACCCAAACCATTGTGTATTTAACTCAAATCACTGTGTATTTAACTCAAATTTTGCTACAGGAGGCTCCGTTCTTAACTATGGGTTGTCCTTAAACTGGGCATTCTTAACCCGAGGATTGCCTGTATATTATTTTTAACCCTTAACGGTTATATTGCATGACACAAATTTATGTGTAAAAATTTTCATTGCCTGTTTCCATCAAGCTGGAACCCATGACCCTGTTTTCCCTAGAAATATCGCTTCGAATAGTGTGACTTCAAATAATGCAACCATTTTGTGGGATTTATTAACCACACTAATCGAGACCTATCTGTATTTTCACAAGTACTGCATTCCCAAAGTGGTGGTGGCTAAGAAAAAATGGATAGGCTTACATGGGAAAACCGGAGATAGAAACTTAATATTGAATGAACGAAATGCCTGGATCCAGAAATGGATGTTAGGAATTAAGCAGCCATTAATTAATTAATGATTAAATGATAAACATATCAGTTAACCAGATATAATGTCTGAGCAGCTTTACTGTTCAGCTTTGTTAGTGGAAATGGGGAAGGGACTTTAGGATTGCTCTAAAACAGTGTTTCTCAAACTCGGCAACTTTAAGATGGGTGGACTTCAACTCCCAGAATTCCCCAGCCAGCCATGCTGGCCTGGGGGATTTTGGGGGTGTAGTACACCCATCTTTAAAATGGCTAGTTTTTTAAAAAAATTTTTTT